AAGAGTCCACCTCTCAGAGCTGAAACAAGAGACCTCCGGAGAGAACCTCATGCCGTCCGGGAGGCACCAAGAGCAATCTTGGAGAGGCAGGCCCAAGAGTTCTCCGATCAGAGAGGCGATGTCTGCATCGTCCTCCAAGAAGAGTCTGCTGATGCAGAGGAGCGAAACATACCTGAGTCCGTCGTGATGCAATCAGGAGATTTAATTATCAGGGACATCAGAGCCAATGTGAAATGCGAACTGAGGCACTGGTTCACAGAGACACTGCGAGAGACGGTCTCCATGTTTCCAAGCAAGAGGCCGAGATGCTCAGAGCAAAAGAGCTCCCGGGCTGAATGTTCTCCACAAAACAGAGTTTAAAAGAGAGAGAGAGAGAGAGAGAGAGAGAGAGAGAGAGAGAGAGAGAGAGAGCGAGAGCGAGAGAGAGAGACAGAGAGAGAGAGAATGTGTGTTTGTGCGAAAACAACTAGAAACTAAACCCTAATCAAACCGTAAACCCCAAAGCAGAAAAGAGACACCTCTTTTGCAGAGCCAAGCAGAGAGTCGCTCGGACGACAGTTCCAGAGAGAAGCTCTAGCAGAGTGGAGAGGTTTTAAGGTTCTAGAGTCTAGGGTTTAGGCTCGAAGGTAAAGGTAAGGCCTGTAAGGGTTTAGGGTTTAGGGGGGTTTAGGGTTTGGGTTGATTACCTGAGAGTTCAGGTCTAAGGGTTTTAGAGTTTAGGGTTTAGGCTCGAAGTAAAGGTAAGGGTTTCGGGTTTAAGGATTAGTATTTAGGGCTTAGAGTTAAAAAACCAGCTCCATCTGCGAGCTCTCGATCATGTAGAGCCCGGCTCATCGAAGCCTGGGATGGGAGTATGTAAATATAAGTACAAATAAATAAATATATAAATAAATATATATATATATGTGTATATGGCTATCTTTATTATTATTATTATTACCATTATTATTGCTATTATTGTTCTAATTATATATACATAAATATTATCATATATATATATATATGTAGTAGAAAATCGTCGAGCAGCATAGAGTGCTGCCGGACGAGAGCCAAGGCTGCCAAAAGAGCTCCTCGCATTTAGAGGGTTTAAGGTTTAGTTAGGGTGCAGAGCCACGGTTTAGGGTTTAGGGTTAATTAGGGTTTTGAGGTTTTAGGTTTAAGACGGGTACAAGCCTTAGCTACATAGGGCTTAATTAATTAGGAAAAACCCGAAACCTATTTAATTACGAACCCCAAACCCTGGAACCCCTTCACCCTAAACCCCGAAACCCTAAAACCAGAGCCAAGCGTCGCCAAAATCGAGGCACAGAGGCTCCACCCCAATGCCTCGCATAGAGTTTGGGATTTAGGGCTTGAGAGTTTTCGGGCATTAATTAAGGCTTTGGGTAAGCTTAGAGTCTGGGGGTTGAATTTAGAGAGATTTAAGGCAGTAAGGGTTTGGCTAAGTTTAGAGTTTGAGGTTTAGTGTTTGAGAGATTCGAGGCATTAATTAAGGGTTTGGGTAAGTTTAGAGTTTGGGCTTTAATTAGGGTTTGGGTGTTTAGGCTTTGATTAATTAATTAGGGTGGTGGGTTTGTTAATTAAATAAAGAGCCAAGTATCAGAGAGATCCACGGAGAGGCCTCTCTAAGCCTCGGATGTGAGGGTTTAGGAGTAATTAATTTTTTTAAAAAAAGAGAGCGAGCCACAAAAGAGAGACTTTCTGCCGAAGAGCTCACTCCTCCGCCACAGCGGCCAGAGCATCCGTCTCAGAGGCCGGCCCAGCCGTCGCAGCCGCCGTAGAGTTCACATTGTCAGAGGGAGGCGGCTGCTCAGAGCCCTCAGAGCCTCCGCGGGCAGGATAGCGATCCGGCGCAGCCATCTGCTTCAGAGCTTTCGCCAAAGTGTCAGAGCGAAGCAGCTCGGCCTGAAGGCTATTTAATGAGAGTCTAATTAATTAAGGTTTAATTCGGGATTTAGGGTTTAGGGTTTAGGGTTTAAGGGGGAGGTTTGCAGGCCAGATACAGAGTGCACCAGAGACGGCCAGGAGAAGCCAGAGAACCGGGCGTGCCTGCCAGAGGCACCCCGATGAGAGTGCGAATGAAATTAATTAACTAGCACAACCCTAAACCCCAAACCCCACAAACACTTCAACCTTGAACCCCAAAGACTAAACCCAACCTAATTAATTAATCACTGCAAACTAGAGGCTCAGAGTGGTACACCAAGTGGGCCAGAGTTTCCTGCTCTCGACAGAAGAGCCAGCGGGCGTGTGCAGAGTTGGCAAAAACCTCCTCCACATCCGCCCGCCGCACCAGCTTGGACCTCAGAGGCTGCACTGCACTAGTTAATTAATTAGTTAAAGAAAATGGACCAGAAGGAAAGACACCAAACATTGCCAAAGCACTCATCCCAGAGCCACCGGATGTTGAGAGAAACTTCGCAGATCATGTCCGGGTCCAGAGCATCATCCTGCACGCAATTAGAGAGCAATTGGGGTTTGGGGCTCTGCTACTTACTTAGTTACTTAGGGTTTCCTTAGAGAGGTTAAGGCATTAATTCACCATTAGAGTCTGTCCGCATCGAAAGAGATCTGGCTGTAGATGAGCTGAACGGAGAGCTGCCAGGTCACAGAGATGCCTGGGACATGCTTTAGAGTTTGGGTTAATTAGATAGGATTAGGGTTGAGGGTTTAGAGTTTAGGGTTTAGGGTGTAATTAATTAGTGTTTTAGGTGAAATAGAGGTTCCTGGATTGAAGCTAGGACACAGAGGGCCACAAAGGTAGTCTCGTCAGAGCCAGGCACAGAGTGGACCAGAGCCAGGACTTGAGAGATCCACCTTCGGGGATTCGTTTCGGGTTTAATTAATTAGAGTGTGCTTCGCTTTCATTAGCACCAAGAGCCCACAGCCTCCAGAGGATGGCCCTCGTGGACACGAGGCTTCTGCGAGCCCAGCCGATGCTGTCTTTGCGCCGATCGTAGAGCTTCAGAGCATCGAAGAGCTTCCTTAATTAGAGGTTGGGAAAATCAAGAGTTTTGCCAGGGTTTAGGGTTTAATTAGGGTAATTAGAGCTGCCTAGAGACTCCTCCGCCGAGGCCAAAGTCACAGCTGCCATGCTTCCCAGAGGTCCTCGGAATAGTGAAAAGTCCAACCCAAGAGATTGAGTATTTTCGCTTTCAGAACTAGAGGCTTCCAAAGAGAACAGTATGCCAACGGAGTTGAGAGTCGAAGGTTGCGAAAAGAGCGGAGCAAGAGGGCTGCTGGAGCGAAGAGGGCTGCAAAAATCTGCTACTATACTACTACTGTACTACTGTACTACTGTACTACTGTACTACTACTGTACTACTGTACTAATGTACTACTGTACTACTGTACTACCCCCGGCCCCCAAACAACTTCGACCCCGGACCCCCCAAACAACTTCAGGTCAGAGATATGCGGACCCCCCGTTAATATTACAGGGACTGGACTTGTTTGGGGGGGGGGGGGGTTTAATAATCAGGAGACCACATTACATGCTAGTTTTGCTGTGATAGCAGGTAGGTATAGTTGAATGCCTAAAACATATCAGCCGCCACAATTCACGCCTCTGCCGCAAACTCCTTCACGCAGTCTATCGGCCTGCTGCAGGTGAGTTTCGTGGGAGGCACGACTGAAGTTCCTCTTGTTTTATCAACTTATGAACCCGCAGCTTGCTGTACATATGTATGTCTTGCACGCACTCGGAAGTGGAAACCCGTGAACACCCCTGCTTTCCGATGGTGCTATGAAGCCCCCGCACACCGCTGAAACATGCCCACCGCGTTGGCAAACTTCGCTCGCGTGGCTGCACCTGCGTGCCAGAACTGTGTTGCATCTGGGCCACGTGGGTGCAGCAAAATCGCACGGTAAACTGATCCGATAACCCCCTAAACCTTAAACCCCCGAAACCCTAAACCCGTACACCCCCAAACCCTCTTCCTTTGAAATACATCACATTGCAGCTTTTGCGGAGGAGCCTTCCTGAGGCGTCGAACCACCACGGTCTGCCTGCCAAATCTGTCCGACAAGCAACTGAAATGTCCAGGGGCGAGTTTGGTGCAGCGTTTTGCATATTAGTTTTTACATCATACTGGCTGCAGAACTTGATCTTACTCCGCATGCGAGGGGTCAAAAGAGAAGGCCACTTGAACCCTGAACACTCAACAACTGCCATCCATGCCTCGGCATTTGCATCTGTCCAGACATCACAGCAACAAACAAGGCAGATTACTTACTTCGCGACTGCAGAATGCCTCCAACATCCAGTGCGGAAGTAATCATATCCTTCCTCGTCATGTTCACCTAGATCACGCCAGTAGCTCGGTTTGTCTGCACAAGACCTCCGCGCCCCCAGTCCAAGCAAGGAGACAGCCCTGCTCAGCTGAAGCACCTTGCCCGGAAGCAAGCACTCTACACGAGAAGCTGGAAAAGCTTGTGGGAGGGTCTCTGCCCCGACAAGCAGCACGTGTCCCTCAGCCACAAACTGCAACGGGAGTCCCGAACATATTGCGACTTCAACAATGAAACCGATAGTACGAAGCACCCCGTCACGCAAAAAAGTAATCAACTAAACAACATAGCAGGAACTGAAAACAAAACCGTTTCATCTAACTGTTCATGACAGCTGAGAATTCGCGGCCAGCTTGCGAAGAAGCTCCTACGGCACGCAAGGGATGAAGCTTAGCTTCGCCCGAGTGTGCAAATAAACCATGCAAATCACCAGAGGCACCAACATCCCGGAACTGACCTAAGAATCCGGTGGCTGGGATTAGAATTTGAGCATCAGGGACATGGAGCCTCTGGGCACTTGACAACCACAGCTGCCAAGAGCTCTTAAAGGTCGTGAGGTGCCATGTCTGAAAAGCTCCGTTCATGGGTGGCAACACTGCCAGCGAATGCACCAAACAGCATAACATCAAGAACTTCAAGCTATCAAGACGAAAGTGCTGATGCTTGGGTGTCTAGACTCGGCCAACCGAATTCTCCACCTCTTGCCCCGCTCACCACGGCAGCCATTTGTTAAGCACCTCTCTGGCTTGGCCTCCAGCTTTTGCCTGACACACGGTCATTCATTTAGCAAAGACGCCCCGAGAGGCCTAAACTCATGAAGCTGTGCTCGTCCCAAGGGCCCATCTATGAACGCAGCGGCCTGTCCAGCATAGAGACTGAAGGGCTTGTGCAGCTTTGCACAGCCCTTAGCCATCGAGTGGCAGCAGGGAAGTTCGCGTTGCTCGCTTCGGCTTGGCACGTTGCATTGCCTCTCTTTGTTGGGGGCATTTGTAGGCCTCCACGAAACATCCCATTTTGCTTGCTACTTCACCTGCAAATGCGCCCAGCATGCGCAATATTACTTAGCTAAACGACTTGTGGGATACAACAAGAAATACAGCTCTCATGTAAAAACAAGTCCCTCAGCCGGGATGCTTGCCATGATCTCATGTATCTTCCCGAGATGGACCTACCATTACGAAACTAGGCCCCATAAGACCATGCGTGTTCCGCTTTCATGTTTGGTGCCTACTTTCATACGGCTGTTGGGCACATGTACCTTCGTTGGGGTTATTCTTCCGTACCCTTCTTCACACTTCATGGTACAAACTCTAAACCCCTCAACCCTCATCCCTACCTGCAGACCAAACCCTGGACCCCCAACCCCAGTTTGCAAACCTTAATCCAACAAAAACTTGAACACCAATCCCTAAATTTAAGAGTAATCAACCCCGCCCTATCCCTGTTTGAGTCAAGGGCTGGGGCTGGACGTGTGAAGAAGCATCATATTGACGCAGGAGGAAACCCCAAAACACCAACCCCAAACCCCCAAACCCTAAACCCTAGGCCCAGTGTGCCGAGGCCGAGTCGAAGCCGAGGTCCGGCGTGTTCAGGGCCTGGCCCGACCTGGGGCCACAGTTAGGGCCTTTAGGTTACGATGATGGTTCCTTTGAGGGTTCCTATACGTAAGGGTGCCGCAATTTTTGGGTTTTGGGGGGTAGAGGAACTTGCAGGTTTATAAATTTGCGCCTCAAAGTTCAGGGGTTGGAGTTTAGGGTTTGGGTCCTCGCACTCGCACGAGGCAGGCAAGGCTTTGCAAGGCTTTGGAGTTCAGGATTGGCGGTTGAGGACTTTCGGCTGAGGGTTTGGAGTTTAAGGTTTGGGGTTCAGGTAGTTTGGGGTCCCGAAAGGTATTAAGGCCATCTTTCGAGCGATCAAGGTCTTGGGCCTTGCTCTCTCTTTCACTTTCCTTTGTGTTTATTCTCACTCTCATGGGAAGACAGGGGTGCTTGAAGCAATACAGCGATTCCCTCTTTGGGCTAAAGTACAAAGATGGACTTGGCCCTGTTTGCACCGCTTTGCGATGTTTGATTCCCAAAAACCGGGGATCAGAGCAGGTGGACTTCGACTGCTCGGAACCACGAGGACACAGCACCGCTCATGCGCCGGGAGCTTTTGCGCAGAAGCATTCATGTGCAGTGACGCAGAACATGCCAGCATGAGCCTTCTGTTTTTTCGAGAGCACCGCGAAGCCCGTTAAACCGGTTTGTGGGCACGACTCGCCCGAGACAAGCTGCGAAGGTGGGCTGTGACAGCTTCTCCACCGACTTCACATGTCCAGTGTGAGGCACTTCTTCAAATAGTCGATCCGAAGTACAGACTATAGTGCCTACACCTAGCAACATACATGCAACAAAGATAGTTTGCTGACCATGGCATGAAAAGTTCGAAGAAGCACACCAATATCATCTACAAAATCAGTCCCGAAGCTTAGCACCCTAAACTCCGGAGCGCACTTGTGCTCGAATGCTGTTGGGGAGCTGTCGGAGGGTCTGAAGCACGACTCTTTCGGAGGGTCGCGGCTAGCATTCACCGAAGGCTGCCCCACTCTTGACGAGAGCATTGGAATCAGAAACCTCAAGAGGGTTCAGCCTGGATGAAATCCTCAGAGGACAACGCGCGGCCCCTCACTGCCTGGGGTTCATCAAGCATCCTCGCGTGCAAAGGGGAAGCCACAAGAAGGATCACGGTGTCCCAAAAGTTAGCAGCCGTGCCCCGCAATCGCATGGCTGGTAAAATTGAGATCAAGCCAATGATGCAGGAGTCTCTTCCGACCACTTTACGAGGAACAACCTGGGAACAACAATAATGTCACTCAACAACAGCCAGCAGCGTCCTAGTAGGCCACGCCCTGCCCACCGCCTGGGCTTGGCTTTCGCACAGCTATGTCCTGCTCCCTTATATGCCTTTGGAGTTTAGAGTGCTTCGAGTTGCGATCAAGAATGACCATGCAGCAGAGATACTGCGGCGTCATCTGGAGTTCAAGACGCGTATCGCCCCCTCGGCAGTCAAAGAGGGCGAATCCCTCAAATGGGACGCGGTCCGCATCCGCATATATACATGTCGTAGGTTTAAGATGCATGCATGTTTGTCACTGTTTACATATGCATGTATGCATGTATTTATGTGTATGTATACGTCTGTATGTATGCATGTGTGTATGCACATAGATACATACATACACACAGAAATACATCATCTATATATATATATATACACACACACTTAGTATTACTTTATGAAACGTGCAAGCATGTATGCAAGTATGTATGTCTGTCCGTCCGTCCGTCTGTGTGTATGATGCATGTATGCGAGCCGCCTGTCTGTATGTATGTACAAATGCATGAATGCATGTATGGATGGGTTTTTCCTCGAATTTTTTCAAGCAGCACTCTGACAAAGAAAAAGCTGAACACAAAAATCACAAGTACAGTGCATTAGCTGCAGCTGCTTTGTCCAAGCGGCTGAGGACTGTGACAGGGATAGCAGTGCCAACGCTTTGAGGCACCAAAGCACCTTAGATTTAATGGCTTCGTTGTACACCTGTTTGCCGAGCTGCGGATGGCCGAGACTGAACCCTGCTGCAAACAACTCTGCTTATTGTGTGATACATGAACTAGCCACGACACCGGTCAACTCAAGAAGCTAATATGGGTAGTCGTCAAAATTATGGCTCCTTATGGGGTAATTACCCTAAATATTAGGTGTCGTTTTATAATGAGGATATTTTTGACAACCACCCATATGTATGTCTCAGAAGCAGAGACCCTAAAGCCCATTCGCGGCTTGAGTTGCCAATGGCACGGAAGCACGCGCCCAAGTCCCCGGTGTCCTGCAGTGCTTGGAATCTCCATGTCCGGAACAGCCACGAACTGCCCAAAGGGTCCAAGTAGATTATGGGTATAGACTTATAGGATATTTGGGGGGTCTAAGTATATACCATATTGATACTTGGACCCTTTTTTGGGCTACATCACAGCAAGAACGTGGCACCAACAAAAGGAAAACATGAAACTGAGGCCCTCAACGCTGGAATGTGCCCTGTTGGCCCCACATGCCATCCCTAGTGGTCATAAACCCCCAACTCAAGCAAACACCCTGTAGTGCTGGAGCTTACACCGCCAAAAACCTTACACCCCCGCCTGTAAAGTATTTTGGGGGTTTATAGGGATTAGAGTACCCCACACAAGGTTGAAGGGTACGTACTCTACTAAGTACTAGGTTAATGGACTTTTAAACGCCCGATTGCCCGCCTGAAGGTTCACCGGCCCGAAACGACAGATCAGATCGCCAAGCTGCAGGCCAGCAGCCTATGGCTTCTGGTGCCCAAGAAAGGATAAGAGGGCGAGGGGTTTAAGGTTTAGGAGTTTGGGGGTTTCGGATTTCATGGCTGCTTTGCCAAAGACAGGCTGGTAGATCGGGGTTTAGGTTGGATTAAAGCTATAGGGGTAGGCTGATAGATAGAGTTTAGCTTGGTTTAAGGCTATGGGGGTTTGAAGTTTGAGCTAATTACAGGGTTTAGGGGCGTATGTAGAGGGCAAGCTTTGCTGTGTAGCACGCGCATTGCCTGTCGGGATTGACGGCAGGGAGGGACCAGGGACCACTACTAGTTTAGCATGTGAAAAAGCAGTGGGAAAGGGGGTTGCAGAATTTGGCGCGCGCATGGAAAGCCCTTCCGGCCGAATGCCGGGTTTTTGAGTTCAGGCTATCGGGTTTAGGATCCAGGCCTCCAGCCGATTGAATGTCTGCAAAGGATTCTGTGGCTTTCGCCTTCCCCACTTGCAAGCATTGCAAACCCTGTAACTTATGATAGCATTAGAGAACCTCGTCTTGGAGCGACCCTCGATTAACTAAGGGATTTAGCTTCTGAAATGCCCTCAGCTCCAAACTCCCATGACCCACAGCCCAAACCACCACAATAAAGCTGTTAAGCCCTGAGCACCCAAACCCTAAAACCCGTAAGCGCCACAAGCCCTGAATCTACTTGATCCTACACCCTTTTTGCTACTGGAAAATCGCCAACCTTAAACCTTAAACCCGAGATCCCATAACCTTAAATTACCCTAAGCCCCTTCTTTTAAACCCAGACTCTGCCGATCAGCTGGGCCTAAATCCCAAAGCGTAAATTACACCCCGAACCCGACACCTTAAACCTTACGAACTCTAAATCACAGACCTTAGACCCAAAACCCTAAACCCCACATAAAATCCAAATCTTATAAACAAACCCTTACAAACGTTAAGTTAATTAAATGCAACCTCATATAAGCCCTGTAAACCTTAGACCTATAAACCCTTACAGACCCAAGGCCTGCGCAGGAGAGGCCTCAACCCCAAATCCCAAAGCTGAAAACCTAAACCTATAAATCTCTAGCCTTGAACCCTACCTGCAAATCCTTCAAACCCTCAAGGCCTGCGCGGGGGATCCCGCGCTGACTTCGTCGATCACGGCCTGAGAAGCTCTGAAGCTGGGATCGGGGAAGCGAGAAGGAGCAAACGGCTTTCTTAGAGGGTCGCGGGACATACGGTTGATGATATGAATCCTGCATTACACATATAAAAAGGAATATGCGATAATTCCCATAGTTAGGGGTTCTTAAGGTAATGCAGAATTTTTATCATCAACAGTAGTAAGTAATTAGTTGTTCGAAAGAGCCAAAACTATAGCAGCGGCAAATTAATAGGGTACCTATAACTCTATAAGATAACTAACTGCGTACTAAGCCCCCCGACCCTCCTAGCAGGGCTAGACGTTTACGTAGGGCTTAGGTTTAGAGTTTGGGGCCGATTAGGGTCTGAAGTAGTCAGCGGCATGGATAAATTCGCAGGGCAGCTATTGTGCAATCGAGGCACGGCGTTGCAAAACACGGGAAACCGCACTCCCAACGATTCTCGAAAACCTAAACCACAAACCCCAAACCGTATCTCTATTTGGGAGTTTCCGAAAATTAGGGGTACTTTATTTTGGGGTCCTTATAATAAAGATCCTACTATTTAGGGCACTATATTATATAGGGTCCCCTATTTTCGGAAACTCCCATTTCATTATTCCACCTCTAGTTTGCAGGCTTGGGCTTCCCACAAACTGGGGTGTCATGTTAGATGCAGCCAGACATCAAAAGGAGCTGCCAGCTTCACCTGGAGGAGGACGTTCCTGAATGTCAGTGTCGCTGACCCTCTGTCAGAGTGCCAGCTTGCAAAATGGAGTACCGTGCTTTACTGTCATGCTTCCTGCTGCTACAGCCTTCCATACACCAAGCAGGCTTGCAACTCTTATAGCTACTATAGGCCTTGTGTGATGAGGCATGCCTTCCAATCCCAGCCCTAACCTACAAAGGGCAACTTGCGCGACAGCTACCGTACTGAGAAAGCCACACATACAACAATACACTTGGCGAGCCGAAGCGAACTTGACCAAACATGAAATAAAATGCGGTGATCATGGGATAAGAAATGTGGCGCACAGGGCAATCTCATGAGAGTGGACATGGAAGACACCCTCAATCTGAGCTCGAACCTTATAGCAACCATGTATGATCGAATCAGAATCCAAGCCCATGAAAATA